ATATATATATATATATATATATATATATATATATATATATATATATATATATATATATATATATACACAAAGTGCAACACAAATAAAATGCAATATTTGTTAAATTAATAGGCAAAAAAGGAACAAAATTCTGCCTGGTGCATCTTTAAGAAGTGTTAACTAGCACAGAGGTCACGTAACGGTAAGCAGTTCTGCCTACCTGTAAATATATCAGAGTCCAGACTACGGAGCTCAGGTTAAAAAGAGATTTGTCCTAGTTTTTGGAAGTTGTGGCCCATTCCAGGAGAGCCAGCTGGATGGGCAGAAGGACAGATGCTGGACAGGCCTAACAAAGCAATTCAGAAAAGAAGATATGGAATCAGAGTCAGATGATAGACTCTGTTACTTCAACAACATGATAAATTGGTTTTTATTAATCATATACAATTAAATAGTAATGGAAATTGATCATTAATTTTCTCCGCCACCTACAGCATCTGGAAATCTTAAAAATACAAGGATCCATCTCCACAGTCTTTAAATTAAATGGAATGTAAACATGTTCACAATAAATATAACACCCCACATACTCTCAACCACGTATGGTCATTGGGCTATAACAGGCTGTAAACAAAACACCACACAGCAGGACAATAACAGCCAACACAAAAGTCCGCATTTCTAATATCTTATATCCCACAAATATATCTTACTTGGTACTCTTGGAATCAGTAAAATAAAAGATTTTACCGGGTCCAAAGTACTCAACAGAACAAAACCTCTCAGACAATTCTTTCAATGGTTTTATGAAGTGAACCAAAGCAAACCCAGACTTCTTGACCGTGCTCTAATCAAATTTTAACCAACCCTGTTTACCGGCGTACATGTTCTCAATCTGACCTGAAGCGAACAACATCCGCTTCACGTTAATTACTTACACCTAAACGGATCATCTCATTTCCCTTTTCAACCCCGAGTTAAAGAATCAGCAGGATGATAACGCCGATATGCACATACAGGCAACAGCAGTCATAATTGAAGACCATTACTTACACTTCGCTGCCGCTAACGCAGTAGGAAGAGCAGCCAGTCATAGCAAAGAGTTTATACTTCCTTTTAGTTTTGCTACATATTTCCGACATCTAGTATACGGTGCTAATGACAGAGTAACTTGTTGTAAAGCTAAATGAACCCAGTCGGTACAGTGAAAGTAAAACCGGCTCGTGCTAACAAGCTAGTGAAACCGACTACAGTATGCTAGCCTCTCCTAAATAAGGTAGAGGAAGAATGTCCAGTTAGCCGATGTCAGCGAGCTATGGAGCTTCCAAGTTAAAACATTTAATCTAATTACGTTTTCCGTATGCATGTTACTATTACTATGTGATGACGGTGCACCTGCATTTGTTAGAACTGTGAAACTTGATCTAATAATCCATAAGGTGATAAGACTGCAAAACATGTTTTGTGTTAGCCAGTCAACGATAGCCGGTTTTATGAAGGCTGCTGGCTAATCGTCTGTAAGGCAGAGAGTACACCTACCGACTGGCAGCTGGAAACGACAAATCTTGAGCATGTAGCTTATCCCGCCATTAGCCTTTGACCTTACCAGTACGAATCTGGAAACAATATTATATTCCAGAAAGGAAAATAATGTGTTCAAAAGTGATTCTAGCAGGCGCCAAAAGGTAGATCTTCGGACTGTACTTTTCAAGATGGCGGTTCCGCCAACTTCGACGACCCCCTCCCCCACTACAGCTGCAACGTTTGTCAGTATGTCAACCAATACAGCGACACGATTGGCCACATGCCTCATCGCTCAAAGAAGGTCCCGAGCTTTCATTGGACGTGAATCTCGTTGCTTCCGGGCGTCATTTTATCGCAGTATTTGGATTCGGTGGCCATGAAAATCAGTTTGTAAAGCTACTGTTTTCTGAATAGCAGAAGTAATGAAAAAAACAGAAGTAAAAAAAAAAATAGATAATGCGCGTATTTTCATGCTTGATGATCATTATTTGGACAGGTGCGTTTTTATATAAATAATGGCTCCGCCCATAGGTTTGTTTTGAATTTACAACCAAACTGCACGTCAGAGCTCCTAGGTTAAAATCCCCTTGTAAATAAAATAGATAAGTGATATAAAATGGCTTCTTAAGCAATTTAAAGTCATCTATCTATCTATCTATCTATCTATCTATCTATCTATCTATCTATCTATCTATCTATCTATCTATCTATCTATCTATCGGTATCTAACTGCTAATATTATATTATATTATATTATATTATATTATATTGTATTATATTATATTATATTATATTATATTATATTATATTATGAAGTCTTGTCAAAAAGATTAAAATAGGGTTTGCGGACAGAAATCTTACCAAATGAAATCAACGGGTGAATAAAATTTCTAGTAGAACGTCCAGCTCATATCGACTTTGAAAAATAAATTCTAAATTTTTTTAAGTATATTGACTTATTGCAAGATTACGGAAGAGGATTATGGTCACTGAAAATAAATAAATAAATAAAATAAATAATAATAATAATAATAATAATAATAATAATAATAATAATAATAATAATAATAATAATAATAATAATATTACTGACATTTTTCTCAGTGGCCCAGAAAAAAAAAATCTCAGAATTCAGAGGAGAAAAGGCCAGATTTTTTTTTTTTTTCCAGTGGCCCTGATCTTCTTCCGTACAAGTTACACTATTATGTTTATTTCTAAGATTATTATTGCTTTGGTTAAGTATCTTGAAGAAGTTATTTGTGTTTTATATGTTAAACATAAAATAATTTGGTCGGAGGTGAACTGAGTAGCTACTTCTGTTTAACTACCGCTGAGTTTATGCTTTTATTTTTGGTAATTTTCTTGTGAACGTATCTATGGTAACGGAACGCAGTTCTACCTGGAAATGTTAACCGCAATACACAGAAAAGGTTAACATCAAAACAGGGAAAAAAAGATAGAAATTAACCTCATTTAACTTAAGTCCATGAGGCAACAAGGTTAGTAACTAGGACTGATATGTATTTGAGTAACTTGAAGTGTTTATGAAAAAAAATCTGTTAGCTTGAGTAAATAATCACGTAAGCATCAACTAAATGACGACTTTCTTAACATAAAGTACAAACTGACTTTTTACAATTTGTTCAAGAAGAATGTAAATCTTTAAAAAAGTCTTTGTAGAATAGAGTATTTTGAACATTTGACCCTTCTATGTCTAGTGTTTTTATATGTATTTTTCAAAATATGTCCAACAATAAATATGCTTAGTTGTTGATGAAATTGTTTATGTTTAGTGAAAATTAAGAGAGAGACTGATATTTAAGACCAACATAGCGCATGAATATGGTGAAGTGATTGGCATTTGATTTATTAATCTTTTTATGTAAAGGTGGACCTTAAAATATTGTTGAAATTGCCAAGTTGGTTGTTTTTTTTTCCCAGGGACATTAAACGCAGCACTTGACTTGGACAAATCCTATTCCTTATAATCGTCTCTGCACGGCTCTGAGGGATCCGATACGGGGATACTGACATCATTCTGTCATTGGTCAGCAGTGACAGACTGTAGGGTGGAATATAACCTTCAGCCTCACAGATCAAGCCAGACTGCATCTTCCTCTGACGGCGAGACCAGGACAGAGCAGCGAGCGGCCGTTTTCCCCATCTCAACACCGTCATGGATTTATGTGTTATTATAGAGCAAATGGAGACGGAAGAGCAAGACAAGGCGCTGGCGGTGTTACAGAGCTTCAATAAAGAGGTAAACACAGCTACAGCTGGCAGCAGGGCGTCACCCAGCAGTATGTCAGACCGTCTGCTTTTCTGTCTGTTCAGATGATCATGGTTTATTCATTTCCAATGTTTGCTTGCTAGTTTGGGGCTTTTTGACTGGGCAGTTGCCTTTCCTTTCCCAATTCTGAGCTAGTTTCAAAAGTTCCACCAATGATAATTTCTGACAATCAGAGGAAACAAACCACAGCCCATAAAATCAGCTTTATAAACTTAGCACAACTTGGATTGTAATCAGCTGCTTTTTTTATTTTGTTTTACATGAGGTAGAAGGTTCTAGGACCAGTTTGTTCAGCAGTCCTTTACTTCCTTTGTGGGCTTGTCCTCATATATATTGTTCTATTATTTAACAAGCAGTAAGACACAGGCCCTAGGACTGTTTCACAGTTGTTAATAAGGAGCTGAGATAGGCAGAGTACCCAAAAATTTTACTCAGTAATAGAGTACTTGAATACTTTTTACATTTGTCAAAGTAAAAAGTATTTCACTTTTATTAAAGTAAAAGTAAAAAGTCCAAAAAATTACTCAATTAAGAGTAAAAAAAGTATTTGGTAAAAAGGCAACTCAAGTACTGAGTAAATGATAAAAATATCAATCATTTAATATTTTAAAACAATCTCATCAGCCAGACCAAAATTGTAAAGTTAAGTGTACATTTTGGTATTTTATGACCAGAATGATTAATATGAATAACACAATTACATAATAGGAAAATCAGACAACAACAACAACAAAAAACATTTTTCCTTATCAGTTTCTTTCAATATGAAATTTCTGAAACAAAAACTGGAGGTGTGTGTCTGGTGAATTTTTAGTTAAATTATGTTTGTTCTTCATTTATTGAAGGTAGATGACTCAGAAATGTTGCTCAAGTGAAAGTAGCAGTACTTCATAATAAAATTACTCAAGTAAAAACTACAGCATAAGATAAGGTAATTATATTTACATAGTGCATTTTCAGCAACAAGGCAGTTCAAAGTGCCTAGAGAAAATACCCTTAAACTAAGCAAAAAGTTACTCAAGTAAATGCTACTACGGTAGTTATTACCCCACTTTGATAAGAAGCATTAACAAAAGTCACATTTGTGGGGTCTTTTGGCACGAGGAAGCTTAAGGAAGTAACATGATGAGTGGATTGTTAGTGGAACAAGCTGTTCCTGCATGGAAAAAGATGCCTTGCTTAAAAAAATGAAGAACAAGAAAAAACATGCAATACATGGATCCAAAATAGAACAAAAATAACAGGAACAATAAGGAGGTAACAGGAGAAACCAGCAAGGGATGTAAGCAGGAAAAGGTTTTAAATACTGTCAGAATGAATGAGGGAACAAAAGACCTGGGCTGATGAGCTAACAGGTTGCAGGTATGAGGGGAGAGAGAGAAAGAGGTGGTGACACAGGGGGCGAGAGAGAGTACACAGGGGACTGGAAAATAAATCTAGCACTAAAGAATAACTAGATCTAAGAAACATGATTAAACTAGAATAAATAGAGACAAGAAACAAACTAGAATCTCTAAGAAGAACTGAACTAAGAACAGAAACAAGACTGATCTAATCAAAGAAAGAGGGTAAGGAATACAAAATAATAAACCTGAAAATAACACAGAATCCTAACAGTATCATGCAATAGCGTGTTCTACTCGTTAAATCCCAGACTTGTGGTTTTCCTTTCTGGACTTCTTTTCAATTATTCCCTCTGCTCCTTATTTTAGAAATCCCAGATCCTTTCTAGTTGAATCATAGATATCTTTGCACAGGCACGTGCAGAGAGGGGAGCTGGGGGTGCTTGAGCACCTGCCCTTTTAGTGGTCTCTGCACAGCCCTGTCTTTGCATGTGTACCAAATTACATTTGAATCAAACCTTTTTTTCTGGATGCTTAACTGAGTTCTAAGCCATGCGCATGATGTAAACTTTAGTGTCAGTGTCAGTGCTAATATTATTTAAATTAATTAAACTTTGGCCCTTGAAGAACAAAGCACATATCACAAAGAAGACGAAAACCCGTTGGAAAATGGCTTATTAATTTAACCAGCATACAAATTTGTATAGTATTATTACATTTCAGTAAATTAGAATACATGTTCAGATGAGGCTTATTTGTCATATTATAAGGGCCATTAAAAATAACTTTTAAGAAGGTAATAAACATGCATTTCCTTAAGCCCACATTTTTGTACTTTTTTTTATTGTCAATTTGATATATTTAAATATCCTAAATTTTTTTCTTAGCTGTAAGTGAAAAATCATGGTTAACAGGAATAAAGGCTTGAAAACACCAGTCCATGTGGAATTAGTTTATATTATACTTTATTTATTTCAGAGTTACCAAAATAAATAAACTTTTCAATGATATTCTAATTCATTGAGATGCACCTTTATGCTTTTAAGTTTGGAAAATATGTGCTTAAAGAATTTAAAATGCATTCTACAAATGTTTTTGGATTAAAGTAATTTAAAGGTGAGAACAGATTTCCTACTCAGTTGTGGTTCTACAGAGTTGGAAACGCATTTGAGAAATAATTCATTATGAAGCCGTTAGGATTTAGATTTATGTTAAGAAGAGCATTAAACTTCAAGACAAAGTGTCTTTATTTGAAAAATGAGAGTGGTGCTTATTTAAATGTTTTAATGTTATTTATTTCAAGTTTTTTTAGGTGTGAGAGTTTTATAGTTTTGAGAGAGTTTTCTAAAACCTTTCTCTAAACCAGTGTTTTTCAACCTTTTTTAAGCCAAGGTACATTGTTTTAATTGAAAAAATCACGAGGAACACCACCAACCAAAAATGTAAACAAAGATACTCTGTAGCCACCTATATTACATATATAGTCATTCTTATCAAAGTGTCTTGAATAGGAATCAAATAAACACACAAAAAAGCGCGTTCTTCTTTGATTTCCAATTTTGACTTCCAATGATTCACTTCCTGCTAAAGAGCCCCCTGGTGGTTGAAGAAAAATCCACAGAAAAGCTGCATGTTCAAAGTGTAGGAAAAAAGTAGCAGCTTATAGTCCGGAAAATACGGTAGGTGAAATTAGATAATTTCCACGGCACACCTGACGATCACTCACGGTACACTAGTGTGCTGCGGCACAGTGGTTGAAAAACACTGCTCTAAAGAGATCCATGTATCCATTTCCCACCCACTTCAGATGTTTTCAGGTTTGGAGGGTTGGGGCGCAGGGGGTTGTCGCTAATCCCTCTCTCTCTTCCTCAGCCTTTGAGCAAGAGGTGGGATTCCCCTCAGACAGGTCACCAGTTTATCACAGTGCAACTCAGAGACACAGAGGACAATGAGTAATGCACACACAACTCAACTGAGGGCAATTTAAAGTGGCCAATAACACTCTAGGCCTGTTAGAGAGAATGTGAAAACTTCATGCAAAAAGAGCCCATGCTGAGATTTGAACCAAACCTTTTTGTTGCAGAGCAGCAATGCTAACAACTGTGCCACATATTAGTCATGTCTTCATATCTGTTCAGCAGTGTCTTGAAGCTCTGCTTCTTCTGCCTGCGTTTTAATCGAGACAAATAATCACAGACTCCCAGCTAAGCAGATTTTCTCTTTAAAGTCAAAAGTAAGCAGAGTTTCAGTTGCTGTGGGTTACATGGATACAGTATATTTTACCTGTTGGACTAAATCGATAGTTTCAAAGTTGGTGCACACTCCACTGGATCTGTGCAGCTGATCAGCCAGGAGAGCTATTTGGTGCTGTTCTATAAGCCAACGTCTGTGTGGGAGTTGATCTTGACAGCAATTGGATTAGACTCACAGTTACACAAATAGAGTCACACAGCCAAGCCAAATCCCACTCCAATAATGAGCTCTTAGGTTTGAAGGGCTTAAAGATGAAGAAACTTTTGTCAAATTAGTTAAACTGTGTGTTAGGTTCAGTTTTTCTTCTGTTTCCTTCAAATTGCATTTTCTAATAGCGCCATTGATAGCAGGCAATTTAAACCACTTTAGTGTAAGAAAATACTTGTAAAGCTTACATTAGTTTAAGAAAAAGAATTCCATAAAATACATTTCAAATCTCATTATATACTGTCTCATAGTATATTATGAGACAATATATAAGTACAGATAGATATAATGTAATTCTCTGTAACCTGAGCTATAGATGGTTAGACATTCTGTATGAAGAACAATGGAGCTCTGAGGAGCCCCAGATATGATTTTTGTTTTGTTTGTTTTTATTTTATAATTGTACAAGGAAAAGAAGATTTGAAATGAAATCAGTGCAGCATCATTATTGTTTCATGAAGCCAATAAAGAAAAAGAAAAACATGATATATGAAACATGAGGCAAATTTAAAATAATATTTAAGGCTCAAGTGGTACTGGAGACTTTGTTTCTAATAAATTATCGATTTCTATTTACTGTCTTCCTTCAGCAATGGTTAATTGTCCTGTGCCTTCAGCTCTATTTCTTTTTTGCAGATGAGCCAGTGCTTCACATTCAACAGAGAAGAGGAACAGGAGAGAAAGGTACTTGTAAGATTTCCAATTTAGATTCCATATTTATTTGCTTTTCGGTTTAAAAGAGTCCAACATGGATTCAAAGATTTTCTGGACGTAACCTACAAAAACAACCCAACTTTATGTCTTTATTCGCTTTTTTCTTTCTTGTTTGCTTGGCTGGTGAATTAGGAAGCAAAACAACAAAAGGTATTAAGAAAAGATAGTGTCCATAAGTTACCTACAAACTTATGGACACTCTAAGTATCCATAAGTCACGTAGGTGACTGCCTTCAGAAGTCACCTACGTAGTAATCAGTCAGTTTGTGAGTAAATTAGTGTCACCTATCTGTTAACATTTGTTAACACTTTGCAATTAGTTTTCAGAGCAGCCTATGTTTGTGCAAAGAAAATAACCTTTTTAAACGTGCACTGGCTGCAAATGTACCAGGCTAAAAAGTCTTATTGATACAATTTTGGACCATTTGTCCAAACCAATAAACAAAAATCTGTTGTGCATAGCAACCTTTATATCTTCCCACAAATGCAAATATTTATATTCTGCTTTTCCCAATATGCCCAAATATTTCCTTTATCTGGAGCATATTCACTGAGGGTCTCTGATATCAGGACAAAATATCTCAAAAACCTGCACACGATGCTGCAATCTAAGGAACTCTAAGAACAGATAAAAAACAGTCATGGACTGTTCATTTATGTCCATGACATCTAAATAGATGTCCATGACTGTTTTTTATCTGTTCTTAGAGTTCCTTAGATTGCAGCATCGTGTGCAGGTTTTTGAGATATTTTGTCCTACTCCAGGTTGTCAGACAGGTTCTTACTGAGTTACTTATTGATCCTATAGGTGTGACAATAATCACGCCTAGGTGTGACTAGTGAAATTGAACTCAGTGCATCATCTATTGTTTTACATATTTGTTTAAACTGCCCCTATCAGTTTGGTATGAGACCGATAATCCATGGAAATATCTGACTCCTGTGCCTCCTCCCAGTGCTCCCAGTGCTCTGCAGATATACACAACCAATTAGAGCCAGGAGGAGTGTCTTAGCACTCAGTCAAGATAGTGTATGTGCTGCTCCCAACCTTGGCCCTTTCTCTTTGCTACGCTACAGCTGGTTCACCACAATGGTACCTGCCAAGAATACTCACGCTAGTTAACATGGCACTGATGACAGCAGATAAACACTTTTCTTGGAATGATAAGTTGTTTCTCTGCCATTAGCATATTAAGCAGCGCTTACGTGAGGTTGATTGACAGTGCTAAGGCATTCCTCCTGGCTCTGATTGATTGTTTTTCACATATTTTTCATAAAAGTTACATGCTGCTGCTTAAATTGTTTTTTTAAATTCATATTAGAACAGAACTAGATTTTAAATATAAGAAAAAATATTGATTATATTTTTCTTCATATTGCTTAGCATGTGATTAGTGTGATTTAAAAAGTGAAAACTTGAATCAATGTGTAGTAACATGACAGCTAATTACTTTTTCACAGTACTGCAGCATTTTGTTTAACTTCGTTTTTTTTCTTTTTTTTAATGTTTACATTGCGATGACGATTACATTTCCATTTTTGGTAACACTTTATTTGAAGGGGGTTGAATAAGACTGTCATGACACTGTCATAAACATGACATAACACCTGTCATGAACATCAATAAGTCTTCATGAATATTTATGACTGTTGTCATAAAGCGTCATTCGGTAAATTATGACACTTTTAATACAAAGTTGACATTATTCAAAATGTCTTTGTTATGACAACTTGACATTAACCAAGAAATCATTACTGATATAAATTTGTTATAAAATAATTAATGATTTCACTTTAAAAATTAGGTAACTTTATGTTATTAAAGGTAAAGTTTAAACAGTAATGATATATTGGTTAATGTCAAGTTGTCATAACAAAGACATTTTGAATAATGTCAACTTTGTATTAAAAGTGTCATAATTTACCGAATGACGCTTTATGACAACAGTCATAAATATTCATGAAGGCTTATTCATGTTCATGACAGGTGTTATGTCATGTTTATGAAAGTGTCTTGACAATCTTATTCACCCCCCTTCAAATAAAGTGTTACCCCATTTTTTCTTTTGACCTACAAGAATGAAATCTCTGTGGCCAATTATTGCTCCTAACATCAAATTTTATTAACTGTGTCTGTGAAACAGCGTCTGGGCGAGCTGGTGCTCAGTTTCCTCAGCAGGGAGTTGCAACCATCCTGTCTGCTGGCATGTCTAGAGACGGTTCGAATCTTGACCAGAGACAAAGAATGTTTGGATCCATTCATCAGCCGCTCAGCTATGCTCACACTTGCCCACTATTCTGGCATTGCCCATCTTGCTGCACCTTCCCAAGGCCTATTGGAGGAGAGCAAAGGTAACTATTGTTATTTAGTGGTAATTGTCTGCCTTGTGTTTCAGCAAACCAGAATAATACCTCCATCCATCCATCATCTTACACGCTTAGGAGGGTTCAAGGGGTGCTGGTGCCTATCTCGAGTGGTAAACAGGCAATAGGTGGGGTCACCCTGGACAGGTCACCAGTTTATCCCAAGGACATTCACACACTCACACATAATGAGAATTAGGGAGATAAGTGAACCTGACCATGGAAGGAAGCCAGAGAACCCACAAATGCACAGGGAGAACATGCAAACTCCATGCAGAATGACCCCGGGTCAGGATTTGAAAAAGGCTCTTTCTCCTTCCTTTGTTTTGGTCACAATCTTTTTTTTTCATAGCTTTTTGGCTCAGCTCTTTCTTCACTCCAACAGACTGGAGCAACACATGCATTACTGCAGACAAAGCCACAATCCATCTATCCTTCTCCTGCTCCATCCCACCGTCACTTATGAACAAGACACCCAGATTCTTGAAGTCCTCTGCTTCAGCCTTAAGGCAAAGACTGACAATGAACATTGTGGGTAGTTGACTAAACCATTAAAGAAGCTTCACATTATCTTAAATAAATATAATGTTTCTATAAGCACATCTTATTTGCCTGTGTTCTAATTGAGACGTGACCAAGGAAATGGTGTAAGTAGGAGTTTTGTAAGGAACGTGCATTCTGTCCGCGTAACCACAAAAACATAAACGACTAAAAGATTGGTATATCATTAAAGAAACTCTGGGATTATTCACTTGTGGTAACTGAACGAGTAAGGTTTTCATGGACATGATTTATTTTTATAAAAAAAATTACTATTGGTTTTTAGTGATTCTTCAGTCACTACAAATTAAATTTTTTTTTGTGATTGAAAATTTTAAAAAGAACAAAACTGTAACAGTCTGATAAAGAATTGAAGTTAATTATGTTTTTGTGGTACCTTTCCTGTGCCTATGACCTATTTTTTTCTGGAAGAGGTTGTTGTGGAGAAGGATGGAAAAGAGGCAGCAGAGGACTCCAGTGTGACGGTAAAGGAGCCCTCCCTTCCTTCAGAAAACCATGATCAAGAAGTGATTATAGAGGCTCTCAAGTCCATCTGTAACATCCTGCTCCACAGTCTGACAGCACAGGTCAGCCTGCAGCACTTTTAGTGATGTTTTATTTATTTTAACCTGTAAAAGGTCACTATCATTTGTTGAATGGATGGCAGGTCATAGCAGCTGATCTGCACTTTATTGATGGTGTAGCAGAGAGACTGAAGCAATGTAATCATCCCACCTGGAACCATGAGGTAAGGGAGTAAATTACATACATGCTTCAATTTTAATGTAATATGTATCGAATAAAAATATTTAGCTTTTAGGTCATATAATATATGATCATTTTAAACCTGTAAACTCCTGACTGGTTCTGGTTCTCCTCTGCAAAACAGCCAAAACACTGAGTTCCTTTAACTCGAGGCCTGTAGTTTTTGATTGATAATAAATTGAACATTGATTAATACATTTGACATATATTCGATGATGATTATTCAAGAAGATTTTGATTATGTCATTTGACAAAATGTAATGTTCATTTGTTGTTTCATAATTACTGTATTATGTTGTCATGCTGTAAAACCCTTTAAACTGCCTTGTTTCTACAATGTCTCATATGAAAACTTGACATGACTTAAGCATTTTTCCAGTTTCACAACCAGCTCTATTCTAAGAAGAAAACAAGTTTAGTGAGTTGTGTTTTTCTGCCCAGGTCCGTTTCTTTGACCTGCGACTGACCTTCCTGCTGACTGCCCTGAGGGTGGATGTCAGGGCACAGCTGGCCCAGGAGCTCCGTGGAATCAAACTCCTAGGTAACTGCTTTGGAAAACAAGTGTATTTTTATCCTCTCATTCAAACTCCTATTTTTGTACCATTACCTACATCAGTTTCAAAGGTTTCAGGAGATGAGTTCCAGTTTCAGTATAATTAAGGAAATTGTACTTGAACAAGATCCAGGTCCACTCATAGAAAAAAGATTTTTGATCAAATGGACATAATTCTTTAAGAGTTGCGTGCCTTTTAAATCCCCTATTTGTGACCCCCTAACACTGTGTAATGGTCAGGTGAAAGATGAAGTAATGCGATTTGATCTATTATGAAATATTATTTTTTGCAAGCTTTATGGTTTCAGTTTTTGTCAGGTGTGATGTGTGATAAAAGAGTATCAGCAAGAATGAAGGAAAAGGTGTACAAGATGGTAGTGAGACCAGCAACGCTGTTCAGTTTAGAGACATTGGCAATGACGAAGAGGCAGGTAGAGCTGGAGGTAGTAGAGATGAAGATGTTGAGGTTCTCTTTGGGAGTGACAGGGATGGATGAAATCAGAAATTAATACATCAGAGGAACAGCTCATGACAGATGTGTAGGAGATAAAGTCCAAGAAACCAGATTGAGATGGTTTGGACATTTACAGAGGAGAGACATTGAATACATTGGTAGAAGTTTTTGTGCTAATGTTGTTGGATTATTGAGCAGACTCATATTAAATCACTTCATCTTACAGGCTTTAAAAGTTTACCCTGACAAAAAACAACCAGCTGACTTTATTCAAATATAGTCATATTGAGAGCATATTTGGAAGCTGACTGATTATGTAAATAAAGAGCAGTAGATCTGTTTGTATTAGAAATGGTTACCTCCACAGAAAAGTGTTCAGTCTTCATCAGTATACATTAAATGTCACATGAAGGAAATACTGCCAAGAATATTGCAGGTGAAAAGAGCACATTCCTATATCCTCAACAACTGCAGGAGGTTCAGCTGCAGCAAAGACATTTACTGGACTAAGGAGTACATAGAACAGAGTCATGTTGCCACAAGTGCAAATGCTGAGATTTTTTAGAAGCACAGGGAGATAAAAACTTTTGTCCTAAGACATCATAGAATATGATGCCTTAGGCCAAAAACACAAAGAACTGACAAATATGATGCCAAGTATAACAATAGACACAAGAAGAAGGATGTCCATCCTACATTGTCCTCACAGATGAATTCTGCTTCCTGTTGTTTAGGACATCTGAAACATCACTGATCTTGAGAAGAAAAGAT